TTTCTTTCTTTCTTTCTTTCTTTCTTTCTTTCTTTCTTTCTTTCTTTTTTTTGTTTTTTCGAGACAAGGTTTCTCTGTATAGTCCTGGCCATTTTGGAACTCACTCTGTAGACCAGGCTGGCCTTGAACTCAGAAATCTGCCTGCCTCCGCCTCCCAAGTGCTGGGATTAAAGGCGTGCGCCACCACCGCCCGGCGACCTAGCCTATTTCAATTAAAAAAGAAAGATGTTACTTACTTATTTTCATTTTATGTATATGACTGTCTTGCCTGCATGCATGTATATAAATGCGTTGCATGTATCCTTGCTAAATATGGAGGACAGAAGAAAGCATCTGGTCCCTCAAAGTTATAGACAGTTGTGAGCTGCCATGTGGGTGCTGCACACTGAGCCCTTGTCGTCTGAATGGGCAAGTGCTCTTAACTACTGAGCTGCCTCCTAATCTCAGTGTTTCATTTAAGTATTTTTTTTTACATTGCTTACTTGCTTAATTATTTTATGTGTATGGGTGTTTTGCCTTGCATATCTGTGTACCATGTTGTGCCTGGTGCATTAGGTAGGTGTGAGCCCCTGGGTGTCAATTCTTTTGTGTGTTTTTTTTTTCCCCTGAGACTGGGTTTTACTCTGTAGCCCTGGTTGTCCTGGAACTCACTATGTAGATCAGGCTGGCCTCGAACTCATAGAGATCTACCTGTCTCTGCCACCTGGGTGCTGGGATTAAAGGTGTGCACCCCCCCAGGCTGTGTTTCAATTTTTTAAGGTGCCCTTTATAACAGAAGACTTAAATGTGAGTAACCTGCTAGGCCATTGTCAGAAAAGGCTGTCTCTGAATGGTTAGATCTAAGTCCATCGTACTACAGACCAGCCGGCTTCTTGTATTTCAGGTAGTTTAACCTTGAACTCTGCTGTACCTGGAATGTTCTTCCCCTAGATAAACCCCCAAGTCCCCACACCTCAATCCCCTCAGTGGTTTCTTTACCTCAGAAAGCTCTTTTAAAAACCAACATGCTTTTATTTTCTATTTCATTTTCTTACTGGGTCTCTCTCTATAGCTTTGGCTGTCAACTCGCATGTAGACCAGGCTGGCTTCGAACTCTCAATCCTGGTGCTTCTGCCTCCTAAGTGCCTGGCTAGAAAAAGACTTTTCAAAACTCCAAACTCCGGTCTGCATTCTCTGATTTTCTTGATTTTTGCTTTACTTTTTCCTACCTTCCATAACTTGTATTACTTTTACATGAGCAGTCATGCATTTCAGTGAAAGGGCACCTCTGTGGGAAACACACCTTGGGTGTGTTTGTTATTATATAAAAATCAGATGGTATGTTAGGAAGCCATAGTAAACACAGTCAAATACAAGTTACAATGTATAAATTCCAACTGTTTCTGCTGGATCTCTAAACCTAGAATGCCCGCAAGTATTCATTCTGAAAGCATTTACCAAACACCTCAACAGGTAGTATGCAAAATGCTTAAAACTCTTCCCGCACTCTACACATTCATTTACTGAGAAAAAGAACCTTTGTTTTTTTTTTTTTTTTAACAAATTCCTGGGGGTGGGGGCCTGAGGCTGGAGAGATGGTTCAGTGGTTAAGAGCACTGCCTACTCTTTCAGAGGTCTTGGGTTTGAGTCTCAGAACCTACATGGTGGCTCACAACCACCTAACTCCAGTTCCAGGGGACCTGATACCATCTTTTGGCCACCTCTATAGCCTCACCTTTGTTTTTATTGAAGACAGGGTTTCATGTAGCCCAGACTGTCCCCTTGGACATACAACTTAGTATATAGCTGTGGATGGCCTTGTACTTCTGAGTGTCTGTGGTGGTTTAAATGACAATGGTCCCCAGAGGCTCATATTTGAATTTTGAATGGTTGGTACCCAGTTGGGGGAACTATTTTGGGAAAGATTAAGAGGCGTGGTCTTGTTGGAAGAGGCGTTGTCACTGGGGACAAGGCCCAGGCTATTCCCAGTAATCTATCTCCCCCCAACCCCCGGTCATATGTGTGTGTGTGTGCACCCAGTGGTTTATATCTCACAATTACTAATTACAGCTCCAGAGCAATGCCTGTCTGCTGCCTCGCTCCCTGCTATGAAGCTCATGGACTCATCCTCTGAAACTGTAAACTCCCAATGAAGGCCTTGGTCATGGTGACTTATCACAGCAATGAAAAAGTAACTAAGACAACTTCCTACCACAGAATTACTGGCATGGGTTACTACATGGTCCTGGGGCTCTGAGCTTTGTCTATTCCAGACAAGCATTTTACCAACTAAACTACATCCCCAGCTCTTGAAATATATTTTTGTTTTATTTATTTCCTTGGCAGTATTGAAGATTGAACCTTTTAAACCTTTAAGATTTTTAAAAAATTGTATGTGTATAAGTGTATACCCAATAAATAAACTTTTATTTTTTAAAGTCCCTGGGCAGTGATGGCGTGTGCCTTTCATTCCAGAACTTGAGGGAGAGGCAGGTGAATCTCTGTTAAGTTTGAGGCCAGCCTGGTCTGCAGACCTCGGGCTACACAAAAAAAAAACTCTGTTTCAAAAAAAAAAAAATTACCCTGTCTTGAAAAGCCAAAAAAAAAAAAAAAAAAAGTAAAGCCAGGCGGTGGTAGTGCACGCCTTTAATCCCAGCACTTGGAAGGACTTGGAAGGCAGAGGCAGGTGGATTTCGGAGTTCGAGGCCAGCCTGGCCTACAGAGTGAGTTCCAGGACAGCCAGAGCTACACAGAGAAACCCTGTCTTGAAAAACCAAACCAAACCAAACCAAAAAAAAAAAAGTTAAAAAAATAAATAAAAAAAGTAAAAATTTACTGAGGTCTCTCATCTTTTGAGACAGGTTTTTATGTAGCTCAGGCTGGCTTCAAACCTGCTAAGTATCTGAGGATACTCTATAAACTCTGATCCTTCTGTTGTATCTTCTGGGTGCTAGGATTACTATGCTTGGCTTTTTATGTGGTAGCCAAAGATTGAACCTAGGGTTTTGTGCATTTTAGGCAAGCACTCTACAAACTGAGTTATATTTCCAGCCTCTGTCTCTCTCTCTCTGTCTTGCCCCCCCCCCCCCCCGACAATGCTCATTATGTAGCATTAGTTGGCCTGGAACTATTCAGACCAGGCTAACCTTAATCTTGTAGAGACTTGCCTACTACCCATCACTCCAAGTGATGGGATTAAAAGTGAGTACCATCATGCCCAAACTATTTTTATTATTTTTAATTGTGTGTGTGCTGGGTATGTGCTTGTGAATGTAGGTACTCGAGAGGCCAGAGATCTCTGTTCCTGTGGTGGTGGGGAGTCCTAGGCAGTTGTGAGCTCCCAGACATGGTTGCTGGAAACCGACCTCAGATCTTCTGTAAGAGCAATACTTGCTCTTAACCACAGAGCCAACTCACAGTCCCTATTCAGATTTTTCTTAAAGGTGCCCTTTATTTGAACTTCAGAGGGAAAAAAAGCGAATTTACCTTAATGTGTTAAGGTGAACCATTAATTTCATTGTCTTCCACCTGCCAAAGAAAAAGAAAAGGGACTCAGCCATTTGGCTACATGTTTCCATTTGTCAGGAGGCTGACCTACTGACTCTTAAAGCTATTGCACGACAGGAAAGAAGCACCTGAGTGAGTCAGGGTGGAAATGGGAACATTGGGGAGATGTCATGGTGGGCTCAGATGTACATAGCCATACCTTGGGGGTTAGCAGGGTATGGACAGTCAGAGGCTGGGACAACTTGTCTACACTGTTGATGGTGTATTCTTGGGGCAGGAGTTCCTTGGCCAGCTGTCCATTCTTCTTCAACCTGCAGGCCTCCTGGTATGGGGGTGCGATGGGGGGCTGGGTTGGTGGAGTATATTTGTATTTAGAGCCACCATCTAGCTGTAGGACACAAGAGATGATGAGAATCTGAGAATCCAAGACAATCTCCTGACCCCTGCCCTGCTGGCTGGACACTCACATCCAGAGAGTAAGTGCGGTCAGAATCATAGGCGCTGAGGTCCCCACAGGTCACAAAGGGCACAATAACACGGGTGGGACCATTCAACTGATTGAAATCTGTATCTTGGAAAGAGAAAAAGTGAAGATATAGGCTACCGCAGCACTGAAGTCCCCTTCCCCTCATCATGGTCCCTTTTCAACTAGCCCTCTGGTGCAGATCATCTGATCACTGATGCTAAAATGTCAGCCCATGGCCTGGCTTTTCACTGTACCATGCCCACCCAGCATTGTACCAGCACATTCTACCTTGTCTCATTCAAATGGAGTCTACAGAGACAGGGTCCACCTTTGTCCATCAGGCTACAGACTTGCACAGGGAACATATTTAACACAGGTGAGCTTTCTACCTGAGGCCAGTGACTGAGGGCTTTCCTAGGATAGACAGGTAGGATCCTCCCTGGGTGAATGGTTAGTTTGCTGCAACAGAATTCCCACCAGGACCAAGAGCTACCATTGGAAGACTATCTGAGATATCCCTAAGGGGGTGCAGCTGCCATCAGGGTGTGAGGCTGAGGGCTCTCAGGAGACATGAGGTGCACGGGGCTGGTGAAGTTTCCCCAGGCATGGGCCAGCACTAGCACCGGTTCTCACCGTATGAGTGGTTCAGTAGGGGTCTGGTCAGGTCTGGAATGAAGCCCACAGGAGGATCATAACCACGACACACTGCAAAGGCCTCTGTGGGAGAAAACCTGGAGTGAGGGGTGACTCTCCGTCACCTTAACCTTGTGCAGACACATGGCCAATCACCCCCTTGCCTGTCAGGCCTTCATGTCACTCACTGACCAATGCTGGAATTCCGGCTGCTCTTGGGCTTAGCACAGAGCACACTGGAGAAGAAGATACGTAGTTGGCTGTAGAGCAGGGTCACATCCCGGCCTCGGAATATCTGTAGGGTATGGAAGGCAAGATAGAGACGTAAGGGGGCCCTTCCCCCAACAGGGACCTTTCTCGTCACTCCCCCAGGCTCCCCAAGGCTCACCTTGGCCACGAAGCAGCCCCCTAGCTTCAAGACATGAGTAGCAATGTTGAGAGCCTGCAGAAAGTACAGGCCGGTAAGGTGGAGACAGAAGCAGGGAAGAACGGGCCAAAGGAGGGCAGAGGAGGTCACCAGGGTTACTCACAGCTAGCAGAAGCTGGGCCTGCATGTACTCATCCACGTCATGGAGGCCAGTGACTGTAGCAAGAGGAACAGCATTAGAGGACCCTCTGACGTGATATGTCTTCTTATACCAGAGATTAGAAAAAACAAAGACATTTTTCAGGCCCTCTTACTGTGAAGGGTCTGGAAAGAGTATTGCTTTCCAACTGGATTTGAGCTCTGAGCCCTTAGTCACCTGGGAAGTCCTTTAATTCTGGTGACTACTTGTCTCAACAGGCAGCAGTAGTATTTCTACCTCTAGCCCAGATGGCTTCGTGGTGCTTTATTGATAGAGCAGCCCCATCGGTTCAACAAGTTCAAAGCCAAATTTCTTTTCTTTTTTTGTTTTTTTGAGACAGGGTTTCTCTGTGTAGTCCTGGCTGTCCTGGAACTCACTCTGTAGACCAGGCTTTGGCCTCGAACTCAGAAATCCGCCTGCCTCTGCCTTCCAAGTGCTGGGATTAAAGGCGTGCGCCACCACTGCCCGGCCTTTCCTATCTACTTTATTTCAAATCTCATCAGGTAGTTTTTACTTCCCTAGCCTGTTTCAGTGACTTCCCTACAGGATCTATTACTTTCTCTTTTTTTAAAAAAAAAAAAAAAAAAACAACAAGTTTATCTTTTTATTAAAAATTGTAAATTGGTATTCATTTTGTGTATTTTTAAAACATTTAAAAAGATTTTTTATGTATGTGCGTCAGTGTTTTGTATGTCACATGTGTGTGCCTATGGAGGCCAAAAGAGAGTGTCAGATCCTCTGGAGTTGAAGCTATAGGCAGTTGTGAGCTACCAGGCATGGATGGCTCTCAAATAAACTCAGTTCCCTGGAGGAACAGCAAGCACTCTTGACCACTAAGACAGCCCCCCCACCCTCTAATTTTTAGTTTTTGAGACAGGGCCTTTCTAATCCAGGCTGGCCTTGATCACTTGATCACTAAAGATCTTTCTGCCTCAGTCTCCCAAGATCTGGAATTACCAAGCATTGAGCCACCAGCTCAACTGTCTCTTCTATGCATTCTCACTGAAACACTGACTTTGCAAGGCCAGAAACCAGTGGAATTTATTTATGCACACCTTCCCAACACAACATGAGCTCCGAAAAATGTTTCGGACGGATGGCTGGCTAAAACAAATCAAATCAAAGACAGAGCATAGGACTGGGCGAGCACTCAGATGAGAAGGCAGGAGGATTGACACACAGCACACAGCTGATGGGCAGGGGGTAAACCTTAGCGGCAGAATACTTGCTTCGCATCCGTGAGGGTCCATCTATTTTCAGCACCATGAAACGATCAAAAAAAAAAAAAAAAACAACAACAAAAACCAAACAAACTTGAAATGCAGGGAGGAGGAGGAGGATGGACAATGAGAGTGGAAGTAGGGAGAAATTGCCAGAAAGGGGAAAATGGAAAGAGGGAGAAAAAAACTGAGCTAAGAGTCAGAGGTCACCCCCACACCCCATTTACCATCAGGAGCCCCGTCACACACTACTAGGTCAGCAGGGCAGCCCTCAAAGTGTTGGATGATCTCCTTGGCAGTGGAAAGCTATGGAGAAAGGGGGTGAATGGCCTCAGTATCCCTCTGCTGCCCTTTACCCTCAAATCCCACCTGCCCATAGCCCCAGCCCCAGCCTCAAAGCCTCGGGGACAGCCATGTTCTTAGGCTTTGCCTGTCTAAGCCCAGGTTACATCTCCAGGGACCCGTCCTCATCATCTTGTTTTTCTTTTTCTTTTTTTCTTTTTTTTTTTTTCGAGACAGGGTTTCTCTGTGTAGCCCTGGCTGTCCTGGAACTCACTCTGTAGACCAGGCTGGCCTCGAACTCAGAAATCCGCCTGCCTCTGCCTCCCAAGTGCTGGGATTAAAGGCATGCGCCACCACTGCCTGGCTCCTTATCATCTTTTGATGTCTCTGCAATACAGTCTACGTACAGGCGGTCAGTCTCTGTCGTCAGTTTCTGTCTTTGGTACTGGAATAGAACCCAGTATACTTATACTGCACAAGTGTTCTAGCACTAAGCTACATCTCCTCTTCTTTCCTATTAAAAACATTTTTTTTTTTAACGGGGCTGGTGAACTGGCTTAGTAGGCAAAGGCACTTGCTGCCAGGCCTCATGACCCAGAGTCCCATCCCTGAAGCTCAAATAGCGGAATGAGAAAGCTGACTCCTCCAAGGTGTCCTCTGACTTCTCTATGCACACCTTGGTACGCAAACACCCCCCCCCCACACACACACACCCAACAAATACTAACAAAATTAATCAATTAATTAAATTTTTTAAAAAAAAATTTCCTCTCTCCCTTTCTTCCTTTGCTTTTCCTTTTTTAAGGTATATAGGTGTTTTGCCTCTCTGCACGTTTGTGCCCCACATGTATACCTGGTACTGGGGGAAGGCCAGAAAACAGCATCCAACTCCCCGGCACTGAAGTTAGAGACAGTTGTGTGCCACTGTGTGGGTGTTCTGAATTAAATCCAGATTCTCTGGAAGAGCAACCAGTGCTCTTAACTGTTGAACCATCTCTCCAGTCCCTAAGATATTTGAAAACTTCCTTTATTTACTCAGTTATGGTATGTGTGTGTCTAGGTCAGAGGACAACTTTCTTTTACAACTCAGGCTAGCTTAGTCCTTATCATCCTTCACGCTCTGCCTTTCAAATCCGGGGATTACACAGCCTGTCTCAGTTTTCATTATCTTGCTCCTCTTCTACTTTCTATAGTCCCCAAATGGAGCCCATCATTCAGGATAACCCCAATATTCACAGGCATGCTCTCACCTGAGTGATGTCACCCTGTATCTGTATCACCCCTGGGAGTGGAGCCATAGCCTGCAAGTCCACAGCCACCACCTGACCAGAACTCTGACTCCTGTGGATAGCATGGTTGATGTCAGTATCGGATTTATGGCCCAGCCCTTCCCCCTACCAGGTCACCCTCCAACCCCTCCACTCACCCAACTTTCTGGCTCAGCACCTGGCTCCAGCTTCCTGGGGCTGCACACAAGTCAACTGCTCGCTTGACACCTGTGCACACACAGTGAAGACATACTGGTCGGCTGCATAACCAGAAGATACTGCAAGAGTCACCTCTGTCTTGTGGAGAATCTATGTCTACCCACTGCCCCTGTGCCCACCTCCTCTTTTGTGGCCCATCTTCTTTCCCGTCTCTGTGCTCCAAGCTAGCCTACCCACTACAGCAAGTTCTGCAGAAACAGCCTGCTCTCCACTCCCTGGTCACTTAGCCATCAAATTAGGCACCTTTGAAGAGTTGGAATTCCTCATCAAGTTGAAGTAGCTTGAAAGCACTTCGGGCCCGCCAGCCATTTTCCTTGGCCAGGCGATAGTAGACATCTCGTTTATCCTTAGATGTCCGTCCCATCTCAGTCTGCTGGTAGGTAGTGTCCTGATGCTGTCCTACAGAGGGCAAAGAAAACAAAGTACAGCTAAGTGAGTTCATGGGACCCACATGACAGACAGCTCATTCAACACTTGGAGACTGAAGCCCAGACAGGGCGCTCAAGTGCCTTATCATGAACTGTGAGGCCCCTTTGCTCATCGAATAGGTCCCGATCACCGTGGGACACCACAGATTCCACAGTTAACTGACAGAGGACCCACTAGTGACTCTGCTCACCTCTGACAACTGTCACTGACACGCTACACAAGTAATCTCTCTTCTTTCAACCATTTTCTCTGCCCGTTTCATCTCTATCAACACCTGACCGTCTCTAGTTAGTTCCATTGTCTCTAGATTCACAGAATCCTACTGCCCCCTCCACTAAGCCCTTGCTTTTCACACCTATTACCCCAACACCTCATTCCACCTCCCATAGCCCAATCTCTCTCCCTCTCCACTCGGCAGTCTACCAATTCCTTCATACATTATGCCTCCACCCATTAATTACTACCACCTTAATCCCCACTAATGCCTGGAGGATCATGACCTGTTAGGTCTCTATCACACCAATTGATCTGCTCCATTCGTTTATCACTCTGCTTACCCATCTCTGCTATTCTCTCCATAACTCACCAATATCGATTACTATCCAAACTGCCGAATAGCCACCACTCTCATTATTAGCTTTCATTAATTTCCCGGCGGACACAGCACCCCGCGTCTAATACCTTCAAGATCCATCTTTTATTAATAGCCCTAAGACTATTTGCATAGCCTCAAAGAGCATCAGCCCATCAGAACTACCAAATACCCTTCAAGGCAGCCCAGCCGATAGCAGATCAGTTGTGTAGCTCCATGCTGTACCCCTCGAGTTCACCCAGCATTCTAGTTCCCTGCTCTAGGCAAGCTTCCCAGGGCTTGACCGAACTATGCAGCTGCAGCACCGAGAGTGAGTCCCCTCATCCCGAGTTGGGGACAGGGCAGGCATGCCTGCAGTCTCGGTCCCAGTTCAGGTCCTCGGTGTCCCAGGACCTACCTCAGCTCTTGGGTACAGAGGGTGGCTGATCGCCAGCCTCGAGAAGAGTGTGCAAACTGGTGAGAAAAGGTAGGGCTCCAGTTGGTGTTCGGAGTGGACCCGAAGGCCTGTCGCACACGCCTAGAGGTTGTCGCAACGTGGTAAAGTTTGCTTTGTAAAACACTTCAGTTCCACGGAGGTCCAGACCAGAGCACAACGTATGACGTTAGTCTCGTCATCTTGTGTCGACATATCCGGGTCCCAGGAACTTCAGTTCCCAGAATGCAACTGACATCGTTTGGCCAATAATGTTGCAAGGCATGTGAATTGGCTCTTTGTTCTTTGTTTCAAGACCAAGGTCGTATAGCTGCGCTCAGGAGCAAGTTAACGAGTTCTCGGCCAGTCTGGGCTACACAGACAGACCTTGGCATGGGAAACTTCTACCCCTCTCTGCTCACTCGGACAAAAAAAAAGCAAGAAAAAGGGGGCCAAGATAATTTGCTTGGTCGCCTTTCCCTTTTTACATCTGGGCGGTTATTGAGGCTATGTACTACATTTCCCAAAATTCGGCGGACATGACCACACCTATTTTCTTTAAATCTGGCGGGAAAGGAAATTACGCAAGGGGGTGGGGCGTGACCACGGGAGGAAAGCCTGTTGCAAAAGCAAGCTAACCGGGAAGCTACGGCGTGCGATTTTGAATTCTACTACCGGGAAGCTACCACATGCGATTTGCAATTTTGAATCCTACTTCTACCGGTTGATTGAAGTGCTTTCAATTTTGCCACCTTAGGACTTTAGTTTCCTCCTCTGAAAAGTAGAGATAATTACCTATGCAGAATTCACGGTGTTAATCCGAGAGTTAGATGTGCATCCTTTCCTAATTGTTTATTTTCCAAATACTTTTTCTTGATACGTTTTAACCACCCCCACTGCCACCACCACCTCCACCCGCACCACTGAAAAGCGTGTCTACGGATTTGCGAGACACACTAAGTAGAGGCTCTTGCCGCCAAACCTGACCACCCGAGTTCGATTCCCCGGATACAGGGTGGATGGAAGGAGAAGACGGTCCTCTGATCTCCAACATGCGCACTGTATTACGAGCCCCCTCCCAAAATAAATAAATAAATAAATAAATAAATAAATAAATAAATAAATAGATAGATAGATAGATAGATAAATAGATAAATGTATGAATGAATAAAAGTTTGAAGCATATATGAATATATATATATATATATATATATATATATATATATATATATATATTCATATATGTTCTTGTGTGTATGTGCTCATTTCGTGATCTAGTGCATAAAACACAATAATTGAAAGAGTATTTACCGTGTATTAGGCACTAGTCTAGTACTGTCAGCAGTGTGCTGGTAAATGGTTAACTGGCTTTTGGCAGGGTAGGGGATTGGGTCTGTTTGTAGCATTTGTTAGTTTCCATGGTTTCCATATTATCTATCATCTGGTCAGATTTGAAGTCACCCATGAGTAGTCTAAACACAGGTGCAGCAGTACACCATTATGTATTAATTCGACCGTACAATAGGAGGAATGGGTTCAAGAACATAGGACATGAATGCAATACAGTCAGATAACTGGGAAGTGATACATTTTGAGGATCTGTTACATTTAAAAATCTTATCCACTTAATTGTTAAGTTCTCAGTATTATTTTTCTCTCTCTTCCTCTCTTTCTCTCCCCATGGTTTCAATGTAGGTCAAGCTGGCCTCCAACCCACAAACTACTCCTTGCCTTCCAAGTGCTGAGGTTTCAGGTTTTCCCACCCACCGCAGTCTTCTGTCAGCATTTCTCATTTTATTTTATTTTATTTTATTTTATTTTTTTTGAGACAGGTTCTCAAAGAGTTACTATGTAGCTCTGGGTGTCCTGGAACTCATTATGTAGGCCAGGCTGGCTTCAAATTCACAGAGATCTGTTTGCCTCTGCCTCCCGAATGCTGAGATTAATCAGCATTTCATTTTTATGATCAATTTAATTTTATATGTATGAGTGTTCTTTTTCTACATATGTATATGCAGAAAACATGCATGTCTGCAGCCCAAGGTGGTCAGAAGGTGTCAGACCCTGGAGCTGGAGTCAGGATGGTGGGAACTGACCCTGGCTTTCTGCAAGAACAACAAGGGCTTTTGACCATAGAGCCAACTCTCCAGCCCCAGCATTTCAACAATTATTTAACAAGGAGTTTACAAAATTCTCAAAATTGAACAAGCTTACTTGTGAAAACCTATATAAGTTGTTTCCAGTGTATTGCTGAATTCTTAAAATGTTACTTTTAGGGGCTGGAGAGATGGCTCAGTGGTTAAGATGCTCTTAATTGCCGGGCGGTGGTGGCGCACGCCTTTAATCCCAGCACTTGGGAGGCAGAGGCAGGTGGATTTCTGAGTTCGAGAGTTCGAGGCTAGCCTGGTCTACAGAGTGAGTTCCAGGACAGCCAGGGCTACACAGAGAAACCCTGTCTTGAAAAACCAAAAAAAAAAAAATGCTCTTAATTCCCAAGCAACCACATGGTGGCTCATAGTCGTCTGTAATGGGATCCGATGCCCTCTTCTGGTGTGTCTGAAGACAGCTACAGGGTACTCACATACATAAAATAATTCTTTAAAAATGTTATTTTTAGATTTTATTTATTTTGTTTTATGTGTGTGCATGTTTTTGCCTTCACATATGTATGTGAATCAAAAGCATGCCTGGTGCCTTCTGAGGCCAGAAGAGGGTATTGGATCTCCTGGGACTGAAAATATATATACATTTACTAATATATATATATATTATATATAAGTAAATTTTAAAATATATTTTGTATCATGTATAAAACCTAGGCATCACCCTATGCATATAACATACAATGTATATGGTAATATGTCTCTATACATTTAGTAAGGTAACTGTATTAAATACAGATATACTTGTAGACAGATAAGAGAATGCTTTATCTTTGAGGTATGGTCTTCCTCTATAGCCCACACTGTCCTTGAGGCTTGGTTCTCTTGCCTTAGTCTTCCTAGCATTGGGATTACAAGCATGGCCAGCAAATAGATGATGTTTTGTTGGGTGACAATAGAGTAAGATGAGGAGAACGGACAGTGAAGAAAGGATTAAATTGCCCTTTCTTCCTTTTTGGGATGAGATCTTGAGAGGTTGCCCAGGCTGGCCTCTACCTTGTGGGCTCAGTCCATTTTTCTGCTTCAGTCTTCAGAGCAGGAGCACACACCCTGGGGATATTTGGAGGAAGTACATTGCGGGGGGGGGGGGGGGGGGCGGTAGACCCCACAACCGGGTGGGTAGGACCTTAGTGAGCATCAAAGAACTAAAAGATGGGCTCTCAATGAGAGTTCCATCAAGTGTGTGTGGGGGGTGTGTGGGGGGGTGTATGTGTGGCGTGTGTCCTAGTGTGATGCTCTCTGCTGCCCCCTACTGCCTAGAACAGGGTCTGCTCTCAGCTTAGCTATGGAAACTAGCCTTTTGTGGCCGTTCCTTCATTTTCTTGTCAGTCTGTTTTGTATCTTCTTTTATTGCTCAAGCACCCAGGGGCCTATGCAAACAAGGTAAACAGCTTCGAGCTGCATCCCCAGCCTAACTTCCTGCATTATTATTTTTTTAAGCAGTGCCTGGTGGTGCATACCTGGAAGACCCTCTGTGAGTTTGAGGCCAGCCTGGTCTACATAGTGCACTCAGGCCAGGCAAGGCTATATAGAAAGATCCTGTCTCAGAAAGAAAAAAAGGTAGATTCTCTTCTCTCACTGTTTTTGCTGGTGTTTTATGTAGCTCAGAAAGCTGGCATGCTATCTTCTCGGCTATTCTCCTATCTCTGCCTCTCACTGCACTCCATGAGTGCCAGGATTACAGTTGCATGCCACCTCATCCAATTTTGACTTGGGTTTTGGAGATCCATCTTGGGTCATCTCTCTTGTGTGGCTAGTGCATTTATCCACTGAGGAGTGTCCCAGACCGTACGCTGCTACTCCGTATTCTAGAGAGGGTCTATGAAGAGACAGAAATATTCCTGAGGGAGAGGGTTGTTTTGTTTGGTTGGCTTTGTTTTTTGTTTTGAAAACTCTGGATAGGTCTGTGATGGGGCTCCGTTACGTAGCAACAACCATTTAAGGTACATGAGAGCCAAGGAAGGAGCGACAGCTTGGAACGCAGCTCAGTTACAGAGCACTTGCCTGGGGTGTGCGTGTCAGGTCCAAGGATGGAGGCTCTAAGTTGAGGCCCATCACCACAGAAGAAGCAAAATGTTACATTATATTAGAAAGGCGAAGCAACATTTTGGTCAGTGGGGCTCAAGAGAGTCTTGTGGGGTGATGGGAACCTGGGTCTTCTCGCTGCAGTAAACAAGTGTGAGAAAGGAAGGGTTCAAACAGGCCGCCACTCCACAAGAGAGGAGGGAGTGCCAGGCACGGGGGCCCATGTTCATCCTGCTGGATGCTTCCTATGTCCTGTTTTCTTGTGGGTCACAAAGAGGATGTTTAATTTTTAGCAAAGAAACTTGCTTCCTCCAGCAGGGCTCAAGGTTTGGGAGTCAAGGAGCCAGGCTCTAAGTTCCCCATGCCACTGGAGGCATTAGTGTTACATAACAAGACAGACTTGGCCACCCGTCCTCCATAAGTCAACGGAAGAGACAAATTAATAGTGAAAAGCAGGAAAAAGAGATTTAATCATTGTGAGACTACTGGAAAGAGGGACAAAGAGATTCAGTGACAACCTTTTACCAAGTTTCTCCTAGGTGAGCTAACAGGAGGTCCAGGTTAAGTAGGGGGTCAGAGTTATGCATAGCTGAGTTATCCCTGTCAAAGTGTGGTACTGCTCATGGGGGCTGTCAGCTATCTGTGTCAGTCTCTCCAGCAAGATAGTCTGACAAGTTCTAATATCTCTTTCCTAGAGACAAGGTTTCCCCCTGGCTGGCCCCAGATTTCAGCGTTTTTTTTTTTCTTAGCCCAGCATGAGATTCCTGGGGAAATTCCAATTTCTTGGGGTGCATTGTTTCAATAGTCTAATAGCCAAGGGAAGGGACACAAGTGTCTCTTAAGAATATCCTCATTCCTGCCAGGCAAGCCAGTTACACCCAGGCTCTTCCCGGAGCCAAAGGCTCCCACCCAACACCCCACTGAGTGTAAAGGTGTCCTCCCGGCAGCCAGACCAACTCTTTCCGGGAGAGGGCATTTTAATTTTTGGAGGGGAAGAGGAAGCGG